AAAAAAGTTGCATAATTGTTAGTTATAAGGAAGTTAGAGACATAATTGACTCAGCATTCAGAACTCTCACTAGGGGCTAATTCCATTTTCATTTTCGTATCTATATACTGCTATACATTCAACCCTATACCACCATATATACTTTAATCATATCTCGTTAAATTGTTAATTTGCTGTAGATAGATGCTATGAATCATCCGTTGTTCTACAATTTGTTTGCTCGCATTATATGCAGGTAAAGAAGAAAAATGAGTCAGCCTCAATTTATCAGTCATCAACCACAGTTTCCGATAACAATGTTATATAAATACGCATCCTCTCAGCCAATTTTGATAATAGGATTCTATGATAAATAGGGAATATATATTGAAGCTTCAATAACATATATATATATTCTACAAGTGTTTTCGTTTTAATTTTTTTCGTGTCGGATTTATCTTTCTAAAGGAGAGAGCATAGTTGACTCATAGTAGTTTTATTTGCTTTCGGTTGCATATTGGGTATATTTAATTCTTTATTTTTGTTAATTGGTTACTGGACTGGTCATATTTGAGATTTATTATTTTATTGTATATTTTGGGTTCCTCTAAAGGGTGTTCTAATGTTTTAAAATCACCTGTAACGAATTTTTATTATTATTGAGTGCTAGAAGTTCGGAAAGCTGGCGTGTTTGTCGTGCAGCTTGTTTTTGTTGTGTTACTTCCAAGTTTGTTTTAGCTGATAGAGTTGCTATTAAGATTATAAAATGTCATTAGATTCGTGCAAGTTGACGAATGATATCGAGTCTACCCCCGATACCACTTATGTCAATGATTCTTTGTCTCCATCGGGATTATCACCTTTGAATGCAAAGGAGACTGTATTACCAAATAATTTCAAGTATTACAGCCATCACCTTAATAAAGGGCAATTTAATTTAATTTTGATAAACTGCTCTATAAATTTGGTGAAAGTGTTGTATCCGGAAATGGATGAGAACAAGATTAAGTTGAGATTTTTTATGATTGAGATTTTGAGACGTTCAAAGACGTCTATTCAGTCATTGCAAATTACCTGTTTTTATCTCTTGAAGTTGATTCAAAAGAGCAGAAGTGAGTTACCTACATGCCCTAAGAAATTGTTTCTCGGATTGCTTATCATCGCATCCAAATTTAATCAAGATGCCAATTATTCTTTCAAGACTTGGTTAAAGATCTGTGGTTGTAACAATGGAACTGATGCCAATGCTAAGTCAGACTTGAATTTACAAATCTTGAGAAGTATAGAGGTAAATTGCCTTGGATTATTAGATTATGAATGTTATATTAATAATTCCAAGTATGAAAACTGGTGTAATATTTTACTTATTTTTGGTTATGATTTCATCAAGTTCCATAAGATTTTTAAGAGTGAAATCACTTGGGAAGCAGATGTGGATGTTATTGCTCATAAATTGATTAAGTGGAAAAAATTCTTAATGAATTTGGATATTAGCAAGTTGAATGAAATTAAAAGCAGCTTTAACGACTATTATATTAATCAATATGGTAAGAAGGTTTTGCTTTATGATGATGATGCTGATGTTCCTTCATTATTTGATAATGGTAAGAGAAAGTTTATGAATAATGACTTCTACTCGATTGAAAAGAAATTTAAAGTATCTTGTAAGTAATATTTAATTATATCTATTTATAAGTTTAATACAATTGATTTTGTTATTAGTATTAGCATCGTAGCTGTTTTGAAACGCCGTTAAGTGTTATATATATACAAACATCCATCATTCCCCCACTTACCCCGTACATTATATATTGGCATAAATCCTTCATTATCAGCTAAAGGTCTGCTTGAATCATTCATCGTATTTAATGCCTTACCAATATTATAGCCTCTTATTACTATAGAACCGTAGTTATTCTGTAAATTGACTAACTTAGCTTCTATTGATTGTGAAAGACATCCGAATCCATTTACGTCTTTATTTAATGCAATAATTCTGTAATCATAGAAATCAGTTTGAATTATAGGTCCAACAACATTTGGATATCCATACTCCATAATGATCCGCGAGCCCAACAACGATCTGAATTCGTTTAATTGCAAAGTGTTCAATTTGCTTTTCTGTGTTATACTCGTTTGAATATAAATCAACCTTAACACATCTTTGTAAGTAGTGGTAAACTTTCCTTTTGATAGGAACTTCATAGATTGATTGAACTGGAGCTTCTTGATAATATTTTTCAGAGGTTTGATTTCATCAAGCTTTACATTTTCAATAAAATCTGATTCATTAATTGACAATATTGTTGGATTATGAGACTTGATAACAGAGAAGTCAGCAGGATTAATAATTTTAACCTTTGTGTTGGTAACAAAGCAAGCCATTATTTTACATATCTCATTGAGGATACTTTCATTAGTTTTAACTTTTGATTGCACCACGAGTAAAGTATCTTTATCACTCCACATACGTGATAAAGGAATATGCTTGATTGTAGATGCAATACCACTAATCAAATTAATCTGAGCAAACCTAACATTTGATAATACTCTATGATTTACCTTACGAGTGAACTGAATTACTGTACCCTTATCTTTATCGGGATGATATTCGTTTTGAAATTTCAACAATTCTCCACGTTTTCCTTCTAAGATACCATATACAGAGTTTTCACTTCTGGAATTGAATAAAATATACCTTTTATCCTTAACTAATTCCAACTCTTGTTTATCGATTACATAGTAATCAATGTTTTCAACAGTGTCAATGTCATCATAGAAATTGACCGTAATACGATTGACAAAACATGCAATAAGGATACAAAACACTTCGACACAAACTAAAGAGTTCCTATAATTGATTGCAATCCTCTTGGCTTCTTTATCCTTCAAATAATGTCCAATTTTGTCAACCATGTAGTTTAATTCTGCTATTTTTATTGCTTCATCATGTATTACAATCTCTTTAGTAGGATCTCTTGAAGTAGCGTTCATTAAGACCTCCCACACATCACATAAGTTTCCATTTCTTAGCTTATAATGATTATATCTTATGTCTAATCCAATTCTCAAACCGTGTGAATAATCCAATTTATTTGACTTGTAAATGGCCGATTCGTCTGATTTCCTAGTAGCATCTATGATAGATTGTTCATTTAAATATACATCACTGACATCCTTCGTGGAATCAATATACCAACTATATAGATAATTGATACCCAAGACTACAATTATAGCTATAAGAACGTTATTGTCAATCATTGTTGCACTTGTGTGTTAGTAATACATTCTCGTTATGTGCTGAAATTTTTGGAGCCTCGTTTAAATTGTTCTTACAGATAAAAAAACCTAGTTCACAAATTATATTTTATTCTGGAGGATACCTACTAAAATGAGTCGTTTCGCTATTCCAAGATTCAGAGGTATACATAATCTAAGTTTATTGATAGTGCTAGTATGGCTCTTGACTTTTACATACCATGAACGTTATGTTCCGTACAAATCGGCAAAGTCTTGTCTCTGGCCGGATTTACCAGAGCAACATGATAGCGGCAGAACCGACGTATTATTTATTGCAGACCCACAACTTATAGATAGACATACATATCCTAAGAGAAATGAAATTTTACTAAAATTATCCCAGCATACAGTTGACGTTTATATCCATAAAAATTATAATTCTATCATGAACAATCTCAAGCCTGATTACGTATTTTTTTTGGGTGACTACTTGGACAATGGTAGATCTTCTACAGATGAATATTTCTATAACCAATTGGAACGATTTAATAAAATTTTTCTGAGAAATGACTATACGATTAATGAAAACTTTTTTGTCAATGTGGCAGGAAACCACGACATAGGATGGGCTGACGGGGTCAAATTGAAGGCTAAGGCTAGATTCATGGAAACATTCGGAAATCCCAATGCAATAGTTAATATCAATGATGTTGATTTCGTAACTCTTGATTCGATATCGCTCTCGTCATCTGTAAATAACATTCGTAAGGAATCACGACAATTTTTAGACGAAAATTTTGCCGACGCCGATAGCAAAAGAGATAAGCCAAGAGTGTTACTAACACATGTTCCATTATACAGAGATGTCGAAGTTAATAAATGTGGACCTTTGAGAGAGAATCCAGTTTTCCACTTGGGTGGTGGCTATCAGTATAAGCTGGCTTTGGATCAAGATATATCGCTGGAAATTTTAAAAAGAATCAAACCAAATATCATCTTTTCTGGCGACGATCACGATTACTGTGATATAAACCATACTGAAGTCATAAATGACCCTGTAACTAGAGAGATCACTGTCAAATCAATCAGTATGGCGATGGGAATTAAATACCCTGGCATCCAATTATTGTCTTTTGTGAATAGGGATCCTGAAAATGAGTATGCTCCCGAGTTTAGCTATGACACCAAGTTATGTTATTTACCTTCTCCCTATGCATGTATTGCAACTTATGTTCCTCTTGCGATATTGTCGGGACTTTTGGTTCTCTGGTGGAACATCAAGCATAGATCTTCTCGCTATAATTATTCGGTCTTACCAATACAATCAGGCGCATCTACAAATGCTACAAAGATCTCCAATTTTTTGAAAGAACAAGAAGAAGGAACCTCATATTCTACTTCTATCCCGAAATACACATCGACTTCGCTCGCAGCTTCTGAGGGTTATTCCTTTAAGGACAGTTTGAAATTTAAAATCTCGAATTTTATTAAAAAATGGAACATACATGGCTTTTTTAAACAGATTATACTACTAGCCGTCCTTGTTATACTGTTGTATTATATAGGATTTTGTTTAACTCTATAGATGAAGACTCTATACATGATTGATAATTGCAAAAAAAAAAGAAATGCGTTGATTAGGATGCGGCGTAAGGGACAAAATCTAAAACATACACATTTAGCATCTTAAAACATGGTAAAGTTTAAAGGTATATAAGTAGCAATTAAGTCATTCTGATAGAAATATATTCAGATATCATACAAAAAAAATCAAGAATATGGGTTGTGCTGCCAGCGTTCCTGAAATGGACGAAAATGATCCATTTATTCAAGATAAGAAAATCAATGATGCAATAGAACAAAGATTACGAACAAGCAAGCAAAACGAGAAGAACCAGGTGAAGTTGCTACTATTGGGGGCCGGAGAAAGTGGGAAGTCTACAGTTTTGAAACAGATGAAGTTATTACACAAGGGAGGATTTACACAGCAGGAGAGAATGCAGTATGCACAGGTTATATGGGTAGATGTGATCCAGTCTATGAAGATATTGATTATTCAAGCACGGAAGTTAGGAATTCGATTGGAATGCGATCAGGATAATAGTCCATTGATACCATACAAGCAGATAGTTTTGCGGGCAAATGCCTTGGACCAAATAGATACAGGTGTCGCAGGCGGAACTAATTTTTTAAATGACTATGTGCTAAAATACAGTGAAGGGAATAAGAACAAACGGAAACTAAGTAGTACTGGTGTGGTCAGCCTGTCTTTCTGGGATGACGAAACTATTGAATCCCCAAGAAGAAAAGACTCGAATGGAGTAGAATATTTTAACAACGGCTTTTCTGAAATATCAATACACGGAAATAAAGGTCATGAGAATTCATTGATGAGTTCGAGGAAACAGATTGCTGATGCAATAAGTAAGCTATGGGAATTAGATTCGGGAATTCAAAATTGCTTTGATAGGTCCAATGAATTTCAGCTAGAATCTAGTGCAGTTTACTACTTCGAATGTATCCATAAATTTGCTGATCCTACATACCTATGTAATGACATGGACATTTTGAAAGGGAGAATCAAAACCACTGGCATTACCGAAACCAATTTTAATATCAATTCTTTCAAGTTCAAAGTTTTAGATGCGGGTGGTCAACGCCTGGAGCGTAAGAAATGGATTCATTGCTTCGATAACATAACAGCGATACTATTTGTATTAGCAATATCTGAGTATGACCAGATGCTATTTGAAGATGAAAAAGTTAACAGAATGCACGAATCAATCATTTTGTTTGATTCACTCTGCAATTCTAAATGGTTCCTTAATACCCCATTCATTTTGTTTTTGAACAAAATTGACCTCTTTGAATCAAAACTTTCAAAATCTCCCTTGAGGAAGTATTTCCCAGATTATACTGGAAAAGCAACTGATTTGGATGAGGCAGTTAAGTTTTTCGAAAAGATTTTCTTGAACTTAAATACCACGAAAAAGCCAATTTATGTTCATAGGACTTGTGCTACTGATTCAAAATCAATGAAGTTTGTTTTATCTGCGGTTACAGATTTAATAGTTCAACAGAATTTGATGAAGAGTGGTATAATCTAAGATTACAAGAGTATTAGTTTTAATTACTGTTAATAAACATTTGTGCATAGTATTATGTTATCGTCAATCTAAAGAATAAATATATTTTATACTAAATATATAAAATGCTGTAATAAGAAAACACAGAGTAGTAGAGTAAAAAAATAAATTGAGAAGAATTAATAGGAATAATGACGAAGGGCAAACAATTGAGTAATGAATTATAAATTAA